GCCTGCTACCTGCCTTGCGTCCGCGTCCTGACTGCTGCTGCTTTCTCAGGTCAGGGGAGAAAATGAGAGCCGGCAAATGGGCCCTTTAGCCCCGTCATGACTAATTTATTTGCCTCTGCGCGTTGGCAATTTGCAAACTCCCCTGACGGGAGCAGTTTTGAAGCCGACCTCTGTGTCTGGGCCTTGATGGGGAGCGGGCCTTGCCGTTCACGGCCTCCCACTGCCCAGGGGGCCCGCGAAGGGGCCCTGGTCCTGCTGCCCCAGGCGGCCCCCAGGTCAGGCCGTGTGGAGGCAGGAATCTCTGTGTTACTCAGAGCCGTGCTGTCCAGTGGTGTAAGCCTGCCGCGTGGGAAATGCGCAATCTTCTGCTGGCCTCGTCGTGATGGGAAAAGAAGAAAAAGGTGAAATTAATATTTTACTTAATCTAGTATGTCCAAAATACTGTCTTTCAACCGTGAGCAATATGAAAATTAAGAAACATTTTACAACCTTGTTCAGACTGAGTACTCGAGTGTCCTCTACACGGACACACGTGTGCACGGAGCCCCCGAGTGGACAGCAGACAGGAAGGCCCACGCGCAGGAGGAAATACTGCCTCAGCTTCGTGTGTGTCTGTCACCTGATCCCACCTCCCCACACATCGCCCCGCAGGCGAGCCCTGTTCCTGCCACGGGGGGCCCGGCTCCGCCCGTCCTCGGGACGTGGTCACCAAGTGAAAGAGCGAGCGAGCGAAGACCAGGAAACAGGATCTGCCCCCTGGGCTGGCTCCTCTCCGCGTCTGTCCCGCGGGGCTGACTCGGCATTCTGGCGCATGAGCCTGGCGACACCACAGCGTGTCGTCCAGGTCGCTTCAATCCTCAGCAGACAGACCTGCTTCCTGTTTGAGGGGGCGCGGGGGGCAGTGCTGAAGCTTCAGTGAGAGAGAGGCGTGGCGTGTTCCGAGAGCCGGGCTCAGGGCCCCTGGGCCAGGCGGGCCGCCTCCATCCCTCTGAGCGGCCGGGGTCAGTCGTGAGGTGCAGGAAAGGCCACCGGGTGGTGGCCCTGTGACAGGAACTCATGCCCTGACGGCGCTCCTGCGGGGACAGGATGGTGGGTGGCCTTTCTGTGTTCTGCACCGAGCAGCTCGTGGTCCCATCAGTTCTTTGGGAGTATTTTAAGGTAAATACAGTTCGTTTTATATCCGACTTAGGATTTGAAGATCCAGTCCAGAGACGTTAAAAAGTAGTGTCCCCTCGGGCTTCGTGGCAGCCTCTCAGAACGACCCGGGCTGGAGTCCTAGCCACAGCCCGTGCGTGGGTCGACGCGGTGTTGCAGTCATCGCTCGGACATTTGCCCCGCACGTGCCGCGTGCCAGGCCCCTCGGCAGGAGAATAAAATAAGATGTTGCTCTGCCTCTGGGCGTGCTGTCAGTGAGAACACAATGTCTTGTTAAACTTGTTTGCTCAACTGTCATTTCCCACGGATGACAATTTATTCAGCTAAAATGCTGCTGCTACGATTATTTTTGCCACCACTAACAGTGATTGCAGTAATGACAACTGTGGCAGGTGACACTTACCTTGTGCTTTTTCTGTTCTGGCACTTTATATATATGAGCTACCCAGTGAGGGAGGGACGTCACCGTCCCCATCTACAGGTGAGGAAACAGGTGCAGGGAGTTCTGAGGCTTGCGTAGCTAATCGTTGTTCACGGATGTCCCTGCGAAGGTTGTGGGGTCACGATGACAGGAGGGCCAGGGCTCAGACCAGCACCTCTGACGCCTGAGCTGGGGTCTCTGCCCCACCTTACCACTGCCCGTGCTCACCTGGTCTCTGTAAGGTGCCGACAGAACTCTGGGGCCCAGGCAGGAGACCCCTGCCCACTTTCCTGGAGCCCAAGGACCAAGGATGCCAGCGTGTCACTATTTCGTCCTTTGTGGAGTGGCGTGCACTCATAGAGATCATCTGCCTTTGCCGATGGCAGTGCAGTTTGCCCGACTCTCTGGAAAAATGAAGCCCTTTGGCAAGAAGTACCCAAAACCATCATGTTATTTGCTCTTTGACATTAGATGGCTCACGTTTTGGAACCTACCCAGAGACAGAAATGAGCAGCAGGAAGGTGTCTACCTACAGGATGCCCAGCAGCCCTGTTTGTGGCCGGAAACCGCTGGGGACAGCCAGGCTGCTGACCTTTGCTCTGCGTCCCCCGTCGCCTGCACCGAGGCCGGGCGAGCCCGAGCTCCACTGGTGCCGGGTGGTGCTGGCGAGGCCTCCACCAGGAGCCACCTGGTAAAAAGGAAGCCCAGCTGCGACCCACACGCTCATGATGTGTACTGACGTCCACAGTGCCCAGGGTGCAGTCACAGCTGCCCAGGTCCCACCCCAAGGTTCTGGGCTGGCTGCTCTGCGGCGTGGCCGGGGTGCCCGCTGAATCCCAGAGCTCCCTGGGTGAGCCTGGCGTGTGGTCAGGGCTGAGAACCGCAGACCTCCAGGCCGTGTAGGCAGGGACAGTGCCATCGCCCACGTCCTTCGCTGTCCACTGCGGACAGTCCGTGTCGCGTGGGGGAAATGCATGCAGTGTAGGCCAACTGCGGGAGGGAGGCTGCGGGGGCCGAGGTGCGCGCCTGCTGTGGCTTCGTGTCGGTGTGCTGGCGTCTCGTGGACAAGGGGAGGACGAGAATGACAATACCTGACTCATCTTTGATTTCTTAACGACGTCAGTGTTATAAGCGAGCCTTCCTTTAATTGTCACATCCGCTAATGTGGCCGCAGCATTGTGTATGGAAAAGTTAAGACCGAAAACTGAACTGCCCTCTACAGTTTGCTGGACTGGCTGTCGGTGGGCCCCCGTCCCAGCCCCTCCCTCCCGGGAGAGCGGGTCCCCTGTGATGTGACCCAGTGACAGCCTCATGAGCGATGGTCCTTTACCAGAATGATGTGGATAATGCAAAACAGCTCAGGGCTGAGAAATGTGCCGTGATTCCCAGATCGGCAACATTGCTGCCCAGTGCGTAAATAAGACAGGCCTTTTTCCAAAAGAAATCTGTATTTAAGGATGTGTTTGGCTGTGTTCTTTGCCTCCCGTAAAGGTCACCCAGATAGATTTTTCCTTCTTTAGCATTGCAGGCCGCGAAGCACTGGGCATTTCTATTCTCCCTCCATCCGGTGAACCTGGGGGACTAAATTAGATTCTGAAATTGAGTGTGCAGCCGAGTCGGTGAGTTCCCGTAATGGGAGGGTATTGCTTCTCACCTTGCAAGTAGCGAGGTCATGATAATATGAAGCGAAGTGGATTAAAAATAAAACCAAAGGTATTTATTTACGACCTGCTCCGAATTGGATTGGCACCCGTGTAAGTTGCATCTAATGGTGAAAGACAGCAGATTGATGTTGATATGTCCCTGGGGACACTCTGCCAGTTAAATTTGCTCTGTGAATTCAATTTAAAGGCCCCCAGAAAGTATGTAAAATGCAAAAGGAAATGGGCTTGAGGAAAGGGGAAGCAGCAATGGTGAGACACCGCCGGCGAGCCCGGCGTGCGGCGTGTGATTCGGGAGCGGGGCCAGGGCTCCAGGCCGGACGCAGGCCGCTTCGCTGCTCCAGGTGTGCACACCCCAGGCAGGAGCTGGGAGCCCCCCACAGAGGAGGAAGCCGAGGCCCCGAGCGGGCCCACTGTGGGCCAGGCCCGGCATCTGTGTCCTGTGTGCCCACAGCAGCTGGACTGTGCGGATGGCTCAGCAGTCCCCGTCTGCAGATAAAGGGAGCTGGGGCTCAGAGAGGGGGGCCCGGGCCAGGATGTGAGCACGGAGCGCCGTTTCCCCCACCGTGGCCCCCTGTGCTGGGCTTGCAGGAACAAGAAGCTCGGTGGACAGAGGCCGGAGCTGCTGCAGGCGGGACTGGGTCCCTGAGCCGCGGGGCTGCGCCTTTTCCAGCCAGTGTGTGGGGCAGCCTGAATCTGATGCCCTCTGTCACGTGTCCCCTGCTGGGAGCTGGGAAGCAGCACCAACAACCTCAGAACCCCAGCCATGCTCCCACCTTCCCAGATTTAGCTGTTTCCAGAAGAGGCTGAAGACCTAGTCAGGCCCAGAGCCGTAGGCCCCGCTCCCTCTCCGCCTCCGAGAACCCTGCCCAGGAAGCTGCCCTGGCCACACAGCACTCTGCGCCTCACCCCCCCCACTCCTGCCAAGCCCCCCTCGGTGCCTGTGCTCCCTTGAAACCTACCCCATCGTTGGGGCCACCGGCCACTTTGGACACGGGACGCAGTCTGTCAGGAGGGCTGGTCTGCGGGCGTGACGGTCAGTGTGTGGGGCTGAGTGGGCCCCTGCCTTTCGTTCCATCGCCCGCCTCAGTGGCAGTTTAGTGGGTCACCGTCCCTTGTTCTGGCTTCTAAACCGGGAGCTCCCGAGACAGCAGTGTCCTGTGGCCTCAGCGCCAGCCCTCCGAGCTGGGACACGGGCCACTGCAGGGCGGCGGGGCTGGGGCGGCCGAGGGGCTCCCGTGCGGTCTCCCCTGGAGACACCGAGAACCGAGTGAGTGACAGTAACGAGGGCAGCCCGTGCCCACCTGCCCCGCGTGTGCCTGTCTGGCCTGTGCTTCTGTGCGCCTGCCCAGTGTCCCTGCTGCAGTGTCATCAGATGCACAGACATCTGTGCCTGGAGACGCCCTGCGGTGGCACCTTCCGGGCCTGTAGAGCCTCCGGTGAGTGGGTGGGCCTGAGGCTCCTGGGCGGCCAGGACCCTGCGGTGCTGGGGAGTCGGTTGAATGCAGTCACAGCCGTGAAGGGCTGGGGCGGCACAGCCCCCAGCCCCGCAGCAGTACGTCTCCTAAGCCTGGGCCTCCTCCTGGCTGCGGCCGGGGGCCTGTCGGGCGGAGTGGGGAGGAGGCGCCCGGCTGGGCTGCTGTGAGGGGGGGGCCGGGAAAGCAAGCCGCCCCGCCCAGCCCGTCCCCCCAGCTGGCCTGCGCCTGCGGCCCCGCAGCCCGCCGCTGTCACCTCCTCTGACCTGGCCTGTCTCTCTCCTCCAGGAGCTGCTGCTCTTCCTGCAGAACCTGCCCACGGCCCACTGGGGGGACGGGGACATCAGCCTGCTGCTGGCCGAGGCCTACCGCCTGAAATTTGCCTTTGCCGACGCCCCCAATCACTACAAGAAGTGAGTGTGGGGCCCTCGCAGGCAGCAGGCCACCGCCCCGGGGCAGGCCTGCGGCCAAGGAGAGTCTTGCTGGACAGCCCGTCCTCCAGGAAGCGTGCAGGACAGTGCCAGGCGCGGCACAGGGCCTGGCGAAGGTGGGGCTGCATCTGTTTTCTGAGATACCAAAGAAAGCCATGGAGTCCCGGCTGCTTGGGGGCCAGCGAGGGACAGGTCCTCCCCCGTCCTGGAGTGTCCTTGCCAAATGACCACCTCCTGCAGCGCCCAGCCGGCGGCCGCCTGGGAGGCAGACCCTCCTGGAGAGGCCTGCTGGTGGGGCCGGGGCACGGAGGTGGTAGCCATCTGTACCTACTTTGAAATGCAAAAGTTCTATTCTGTTGAGTGAAAGAGAATAAAATAAAGACAAAGTAGCCAGGAGACGCACTAGCCCAGGGATCTGCTCCCACAGGCTTCGCACAGCAGCGGCACTTCCGTAACCATTTGGCACTTTAACTTCGCTTTGCACTTTCTTGCGTTAAGCGGGGCTGGAAGCGACCGGCTCCTCCGTGCGCTGGGCCGGGCGGCTGGGGCGCTGGGAGCAGCGAGGCCTCCAGCCGCCCCCTTTCCCCCTCGAGCCTCGTAAAGGAGAAACCAGGCCTGCTGGCCCGCCTCAGGTAACCCACGGGCAGGAGGTGAGAAGGAGCCCAGGCTCAGGCCGCAGGGCTGCCGCTCAGACGGATGGACAGACGGGGTTCAGCCTCTGCAGTGGCAGCCGTGGGCCAGCTGTGCTCCCCCCAGTGTCAGGGCTGGGACACTGAGCTGCTGAGGCTCACATGGCCCTGCCCCCCTTCCAGGTCCACAGTGTGTTGGGAGACTCGATGGCTTCCTGCTGTTTTTTGGGGCACTGGGGCAGCGAGCCCAAGTGCAGAAGGCCCCAGACGGGCCCTGTCTGGGGCTCTGCTGGGACCAGCCTTCACACACGCTCCCACCAGCGCAGAGAAGCACCTGTCACGGGCGTGTGGCCCGTGCTGACATGACCACCAGTGGGGCCCAGGACAGCCTTCGTCCTCAGTATCCCCTTCTGCTCGCAGACTCCCTGTTTACCACGCGTCTTCCCCTCCACGTGCTGGTCCTGGAGGAGCCTCGCCACCGGCCTGTCTGCACAGCTCAGGCGCGAGGACGCTGCTGGGATGTCGCAAAGCAGAGGATAGGGACACACGTGTGATGTGTGTGCCATTTTTATTCAAAAGATCCTGAGGTCATTACACATGGCATGGAAATCAGCACAAAATACTGTGCAAATGTCACATGCTCCCAAGTCAGCAGAGGGACCTGCTTGCCTCAGACCAGATGGAGGGCGCACCTCTACCCTGGGGCCAGGGTTCCCGGAAGGGCCGCCGAGGCAGGAGCCCCCATGCTCAGCCGAGATCCACCGTGATCTGCCCGTTGCCACAGTCCCGATCCCTGCGTGGCCAGAATGTTGGGGACACGCAGGCCCTGCCCCGTGAGGCGGTTTGTTTTCAGAGGAAGGAAGGATCTACGGAGTTAAGTGAGATTCTGCGTATATTTTCCTGTGGATGTAAACCTGACACTGACTGCGCGGTGTCACGAGTGTCCTCGGAGTGTGAGCAGATGGGTGTGGAATGATTGCAGGGCGTTCTGTCTGGGGCGCCGTGTGCCCAACGGGGAATAAAGATGCAGTGGACCCCGCCCCAGCCCGCCTCGGCCCTTGATTCAAGGACTCTCCTAACGGGACGAGGTGCCCTGTCCCAGGTGGCCTCCGTCCTGGCTCCCTGGTCTGAGGCCAGGTGACAGCCCAGAGCTGGGGACACTGGCCCTGCCCTGCAGCAGCTGCTGGGCAGTCAGAGTCCTGGGCCTTCCCGTACAGGCCAGTAGCGCCTGGTGCTGGCCCAGCACCCACGGTCTTGCCCAAGCCCCGGAGGACCTGGAGGGGAGATGGAGGTGCGAGGTCGGGGAGGACGCAGGCCCGGGCTGAGCCTCACCCAGACTCGGCACAGACCCAGGCGGGCCCTCGCTCGGCCCTCTGCCAGGCCCGGGACGGGAAGGGCCTCCCCCTCTGGCCACACGCTGTCAAGAGCCTGCTTGGGGCAGGCACCGGGGCCCCTCCTCTGTGCTCCTAGGACCCAGGACGTGCCCAGCCCCGCCTCCCCCAGCCCTGGGCATCCGGCCCCCCACCTCAGCCCTCCCCAGTCACCCCGTCCTCCTGGTGTCATTGACACAAGTCCCTAACAACCCCTGGTTCTCACGGCTGCTTTCGCAGTGCCCCACGGCCCCCAGGGCACCCCATGTCTGCACTTCCCTTCACATTGGGGACCCCCCAGGGCAGCCCTTTGCTCTCACCTACTAGAGCGGCCAAACCCCAGAGCCCCAACCATCCCAGATGCTGAGAGGACGTGGGCAGCAGGAACTGTCACTGCTGGTGGGGACGCAGATGGTGCAGCCACGTTGGCAGACAGTTTGGTGGTTTTTATGAAACTAAACACACTTTCCGCACACTCCAGCAGTTGCGCTCCTTGGTATTCACCCAAGGGAGCTGAAAACTCATATTCACACAAACACCTACAGACGAGTGTTTTTTCATAATTGCTGAAACTTGAAGGCAACTAATGTGCCCTTCAGTAGATGGATAAATAAACGGGTCCAGCCAGACGATGGGATATAACTCAGCGCTGAAAAGAGATGAGCTAACAGCCATGAAAAGTCAGGGAGGGACCTTAAGTGCACGTCACTAAGTGAAAGAAGCCATCTGACTGGCCGCACACTGTGTGGTTCCAGCTCTAGACATTCTGGAAAAGGGAGAGCTGTGGGGACGGTACAAGGATCAGGGGCTGTCAAGGTTGGGGAGGGATGAACAGGGGAGCACAGAGGCTCCTTAGGGTGGCGAAAATACTCAGTGTGACACTGTCACGGTGGATACGTGTCATTATACGTTTGTCTAAACCCATAGAGTGTCCGACACCAAGTGAGCCCTGATGTGAAGTGTGGGCTTTGGGTGACAATGACGTGCCGTGTAGGCTCATCAGCTGTAACAAATGTCCCACCTGCATGGGGCGGTGGGGGGATGGGATGGGAAACCTCTGTACCTTCCGCTCCATTTTGCTCTGACTCTAAAACTTCTCTACAAAACATAGTCTATTAATTTTTTTAAATTGTAAGTGCATCCTATGAGCAGCTTTGTACCTATGAATTTGAAAACCTGGATAAAATGGACAATTTTCTAGAAAAAAATACAAATGACCAAATTTGACTCAAGAAGGGACTAAAAACTGAGTAGATTGAGCACCACTAACTCCGTGGACCAGGTGGCACAGACGTCGCTTTCTGAAGGCAGCGTGCACGTTTTACCAAACCCCAGGGGCAGAACTTAGAGGCAAATCACGCACACGGTGGGGGCTGCTGGCACAGCCGGGGGTGGCACACTGAGCAGTGTTCCTGGGGGCTGCTGGCATGGGGTCTGGACCTGGGGGCAGCCACTGGCTGCATTGGGACAGTGACCTTGGCCCGTGGCTGGCGTGAGCTGAGGCCAAATGCAGCCACAGGGGGGCTTATTCACTGCTTTTTCAGTCTTCTTGACTTTTTCCATCAAGTCTACAGGCTGAATCCACAGGCCCTGGGCCCTCTGCGCTTTGGGGCTAATAACACAGCTTTTAGCTGGAACTCCTTAGTGCCGGCTGCCCCGGCCCCGTTCCCCCATTCCTGGTCTTCAGTGGCTTCAGGTCTCTCGGAAGAAAACGAGGATTTCATATTGTTCTGCTTAATTCAAAAGCTGGGACCGGCCTTTTGTGCAGCGACCTTTATCGCTCAGTTAGATTGTGTTTAAAGACAATCTAACAGGGTGGGGGTGGGGGATTACAATCAAGATAATGTGACATCTTCTTGGATGGAGGTAGAGAAACAACTCAGCAGAACTCACCAACCCAGAGGCCAGGAGGGGTTCAGCTTGCTCAGGAAAAGGGGACACTGGGCTCTGCTAGGGCAACGGAAGCGAAGCTGAAATGAAGGGAGTGGCGGGGGTTCCCACAGGAGCCAGGTTCAGCCTGAGCTGGAGACACGCTGACACGCCTGGGGACCAGCGTGGAAACGTGAAGTGGAGACGCACCCAGACTGCACGTCAGCCAGGGGGCATCAGGTCAGGACCAGTGACCCAGCGGGCAGAAAAGCAGACGGCCTCGCCGGGGCCAGGGGACAGGATGCCCTCTCAGTGCCACCGCGGTGTCCCCGTGGGGCTAATTTGAGTGAGGCTCGGACAACGGTGGCCACCCCACCAGCTGTCCACCTTGAGCACCCGCTTGTCCGTCCGTCTCTGAGTAGGGACAGTATTCATCAGGGCAGCCGCCCTGGGGGGCAGCTGGCGTCGGCCTGGGAGAGAGAGGTTGGCTCGGGCAGGAGGGTGACCTGGTCCTCAGCAAGGACGCCCCACCGCTGTCCTCTGTCTCCCTGGGATTTGAGAACGGACAGCCCCAGGGCCTGCCCGCACAGCTCCCAGGTCCAGAGAAAGAGACAGTGCCGCCCACGGGACGACAGCGGGGGACAGCGTAGGAGCTGCCGGCCTGTCAGGCCTCGCTTGCCCTTGACCTCCAACTCCTCCCTGCCCGTTTGTTTCGGCAGAGCCGGCCGCCACCTCATGCTCACTTGATGAGCTCAGGGTCTCTGAGGCCTGCAGCTACGCCTTCGTAATGTCCTGGGGGAAATGAAGGAATCCCGGGGCTCCTGGCCAGGGCCCTACGGCCGGCAGGCCTGGGCTGACCTAGACCCCGGGGCCGCCACAGGGGGACCCCAGCACCTCGGCGCCCCCGGAGGAGGGGTTTTACCCAGCAAGCGGCTGGCCTGGTGATGCGGGCAGAACGGTTGGACCTTTCCTTGAGCAAGCATTTATTGAGCACCTGCTGTGTACCAGGCACTGTGATGTAGGAGACTGACACCCCTCGGGCAACTATTAGGTGTCCACTTGGATGACCTTGAAAGGATGTTCAAGGTCGCCCGGTAAGTGAGGACGATGGTGCCTGACCAGGGAGACCTGACCCCAAAGCCTGTACTTCTGCAACGGGCCCTGGTCACGGTGGGGCCATCTCGGTCTCCCAAGTGACAGGTGGCAGGAAGCGTTCCTGCTCCGCCCAAGGCTGGATGTCTTAATCAACTGTCAGTGGTCACTGTCCTCAGGCCGTGCCTGGGATGCTAACGGGGAGAGGAGACCCGGGCACAGGCAGCCTGACCCGGCTATTGAAAATAATTGGCCGCCCACAGTGCGGGGAAAATGTGTTCTCTGCAGTTTGACTGGGAAATGTGAGTTATTCTCACGTTGCCATAGGAACCAAGATAAGTTTTCAACATCTTTCAGATATTTAGTTTTGTGAGCCCAGTGATGACCCTGTGAGCTCTGCGGAGAAGCCGGAGAAGGAGCCGGGGAGGGAGAGGAAGGGGGGGTGCGGAAAGGGGGGCGGGAAGGATGGTGGGGGGGCCCAGATGGCACACCTGCGCCTTCCTGGGCCGCCCGCACTCACTTCCTCTTCTCTGCTCACAGCTCTGTGAAGACCATTTACTGCTTTTATCCAGTTTCAAAGAATGTGCTTAGAGATGTCTCCGACAGTCTAATAGTGGCAGAAAGAAAGGAAAAGTGATCAGCCTCAAAAATCACCACTTTGAATCGAGCTGTTTCAAACAGCTCACTTTGCAAATTAGAGGCTGGTGTGAAGATGCAAGAAATACGTCCGTCGCTGAAATTCGGAGCGGGCGGGCGGGAGAGGAGGGCCTGCCTTGTGGCCCCAGGTGGCGCGGCGCGTCCTGGGGGACCTACAGGCTGAGCAGGGTCCCGAGCTGGGTTTGGCATGTGACTTCCAGCCTTCTCGCCATCTCTGGATGCACCTGTCTTTTTCCCACGATAAGAGTTGTGGGGCCATCAAAGAATTAGGAAGTAGAGGAAATTGGGGTGGGGGTGGTTGCTGAGTGAGTCTCCCCCTAGGGCTGCCCCTGAGTGTCACCCTCTCTTGGAAAGTTTCGGGCCACCTGCGCGGCCCTCTCACCGGTGGCAGGATGTATGCCTCTGCCGCAGTATGTCTCTTCATCCAGAAGGGGGTCCCCGCGGACAAGCGCCGTGTCCCCTGCCTCCCTCCCTTGTCTTGTCCTGAACCCATTGGTACAGCAGAGCAACAGCACAGCCCCTTTTATGCTAATGGCTCTGCTCTGCATGTACCCCATTTTACAGATAAGGAAACTGAGGCAAGGGCGGTCAGGCAGCTCCCACGAGCTCACGGAGCTAGCCCAGGGTCCATACTCTTCCTCACTTTGCCCTTATAATGGCCAGTGGGGGGCTTCCTTCATTGTGCCCAATTTAAAGATGCTGGGGGAGGGGTGCCCAGCGACTCAGGGTTACACAGCCAGGCTTGCAGACAGGCCATCCAGCGGGGTGGGTGGGAGTGGCCGGCTGGACCCGGCGTGGGCCTCGGGGCCATCTGGGCCAGCTCCCCCGGACATGGGGTCCCCTGGTGCACTGAGGGAGCCCTCCCTGGGCTGTCCACGCAGAGTGCCCGCCCCGCCGGGAGGCGTGTCCGCACCTTTAGGGTCTGGTGTCACGTCCCCGGCTGCCGGGGCAGAGCTGGGAAACAGCACTCCTGAAAGATTGCCCTTGATTTGCCAAATTAATGTCTTAGTTCTCCATGTCACGGGAGCTATAATGAGGTGTCAGTGGGAATGA